GTGTATAAAATACAGCGATACTAAGACTGATACTGAGATCTAATTCTGCACGATCGGCACATTTTAAATGGTAGTATATTCTGGTATAACTTGGTATACCAGACCGCAGCAATTTGCCAAGGGCCTTACAATCGAAGAATAGAAGGTTTTGCAGCTTAATCACGAATTGGGATAAAAACAGAAACTGACAGACGCTCCCTTTGCTCCCATCAAAAAGGGGGCAGCTTACGTGGTATCGCTATCAGTAGGGAACCTAATGCGTTCACAAATGTATACATAAGCAGGGGAAAACGCGGACATGTCGCATATTAGCGAGGCTAACTGCAGCTTACACCCGCTCATAAAGCCGATACCAGACACACAGACGCTATCACGCACAAATGCACCCGGGGGCACAGCCCCTTCCGTTCGTACTTACATGCGAGCCACAGCTTTGCGAGCCAGTTTACATGGCAAGACGCGCTTTTCGTGTGTATCCCGGAGGAGACGCTCCTCAGCGGCCCACCGATCCCGGCTGGATCACAAAGGGTGTGGGAGCGGCGAGCATTAGGCTGTTGCGGGGATTTATGCACCGTTTCTTCTTGTGTGATGGACGCTACCTCCGGAGTCTTGACATCAGAAGGGATTTATTAAAAGAGAACAATAATTCAGTATTCAATTAACTCAGCGTATTGCATTTTTACTTCCCCAGAGGGGAAAAAAAATCGAATTAGGCCACTCTATATGGACAGTATGCAGTATGATACATTTTATACAAATAATTTAAATGAATTAAACGCACCTCAGAAACATTTCTTAAAATTCTCAGTGGATTTAAAAGGAAGTGTTTGGAATTTAAAAAGAATAACGAGAGGAGACGGTTTCAAACAAACTTGTTCTGTATATGCAGCCCTTAAAATGACCACGCAGTAAGCAACATGGCATACAAGCACAGGGAGGTTATAGACTAGACAGGAAGGTTCACATATGGTAGGGTAGTTATACAACACTAGAACACATTAGGATTACACATATGACCCATGTAATGGTACACGCAACTCTGGATAAGTAATTTCACTAACAAATACTTACAAACGCTACTTACAGGACATGCACAGGGCTATATACAAGGCTTACAAGAATGCCGGGATATTCAAATCACGCAGACGCTACACTGTCCCCCCCCCCATCTCAAAGGTCAGCTGTCCTGGTGGCCACCATCCCCAGTCCCCGCCTCAGGTCCCAAGCTCAGCTCATCATTGGTCAAGCTGAGGGGAGCCTGGAGCTCTTCCCCCTCCAGCATCAATGCAAGGTGCATCGCTGTTTCCTCGTCGCTCCAGGCATTGTGCCAGGCTGCCAGCTGCACCTGGATGAGGTTGGCCTCCAGGGGCTTCTTCCTGAAGTACCATGGGAGCTTTGCAGCTGTCTTGACTCCAACTCTACTGGGTACTGGAGAGCTCGGCGAGGGGGCTTCTGCTCACACTTCCCGGGGTCGGCACGGATAAGTTGTGGCTGCAATGCCAAATAACGAGAGGAGACAAATTAAAACAAAGTTGCTCTTTATATGTGGTTCTTAAAAGGAAACGGAACGCAGTAAGCAACAATACACAGAGGTGAACATGACATGCAAACACGGGGAAGTTCCACATTAGACAGGAAGGCTCACACATGGTAAGGCAATTATACAACACTAGAGTACATCACGATTACACATATGACACAGGTAATGGTACACGCAACAGTTGGGAGTAATGACACTAACAACAAAGGCTATTTACAGGACATGCACTGGGCTATATAAAAGTCTCCATGAATGCCGGGATATTCAAATACCGCCAACGCTACGATACTATACTATACTATACGATACTATAATTCCTCAGAAACTGTCCAGTAAATTGAGGGAGCTGGGCCTGAACACCCCCCTTGTTAACTGAATCCTGCATTTTCTGACAGAAATACTTCAGTCAGTCCACATTGGGCCTATTTCTCTGACACCATCACACTGAGCATAGGAGCATCGCAGGCCTACATTCTTAGCCCTCTGCTCTTTACGCTGCTGATCTGTGATTGCTCAGTGAAGTTCAGCTCCAATCATACAGTATAATCAAATTTGCAGATGACATGACACTGGTCGGTCTCATTGACAATAATAACGTTTCATTATACATGGAAGAGGTGGTAAGAGTTGCTGCCTGGTGTAAGTGCAATAATGTCAAAACAAACGAGATAAGAACATAAGAAGAACATAAGAAGAACATAAGAAGAACATAAGAAGAACATAAGAACTTTACAAAAGAGAGGAGGACATTTGACCCATCAAGCTTGTTTGGGGAGAATTCTACTAATAGCTTAATCCTGTACAAATCTTATCTAGTTCTGATTTAAAGGAACCCAAGGTCTTTCACTAACAGGAAGACTATTCTATACTGTAACTACATACTTACAGTGGCATGCAAAAGTTTGGGCACCCCTCAATAAATAACATATTTTGGTCATTTTTTAATTGAAAAAATGTAAACACAGTCTCTGTAGGAAATGGAAAAAAATGCACAATATTATTCACCAAACATTGATGCATAGTTACTTTTTATGTCAATAAATTGAAAAAAGATAAAAAATAAAAACATTATTATGGCACTGTGCAAAAGTTTGGGCACCCTACGAGTTCCAAAGTCTCAGATTCTTTTTACAAGGTTTCAGACCTTAATCAGCTCATTAGATCTGATGCATGGCAACAGCTGCCATTAGTAAATGTCAGCTGGTGCCAATTTCAAAGCTTTACAAATACACTGACTCTTCAAACCTTGTGCACACACTTGTGGACACTCAACAACCATGGATTCCTCTAAGCAGCTGTGTAAGACTCTGAAAATGAAAGTTATTGATGCCCACAATGGAGGAGAAGGCTACAAGAAGATAGCAAAGCATTGTCAGCTTGCAGTTTCCACAGTGAGAAGTGTAATTAAGAGATGGAAGTTCAGGGAAACTGTGGAGGTCAAGATGAGATCTGGAAGACCAAGACAACTCTCGGAGAGAGCTGCTCGTATGCTGGTCAGAAAGACAAATCAAAACCCCCATTTGACTGCAAAAAACCTGCAGGAACATTTAGCAGACTCAGGAGTGGTGGTGCACCGTTCCACAAGACCTTCATGGAAGAGTCAGCAGAAGAAAACCTTACCTGCGTCCCCATCATAAAATCCAACGTCAGANTCAGGAGTGGTGGTGCACCGTTCCACAAGACCTTCATGGAAGAGTCAGCAGAAGAAAACCTTACCTGCGTCCCCATCATAAAATCCAACGTCAGAAGTATGCAACAGAACATCTACAGAAGCCTGATGCTTTTTGGAAACAAGTGCTGTGGACTGATGAAGTTAATATAGAACTCTTTGGCCACAATCAGCAACGGCATGTTTGGAGAAAAAAAGGAGCAGCATTTCATGAAAAGAACACCTTGCCAACTATTAAGCATGGAGGTGGATCTATCATGCTTTGGGGTTGTGTTGCAGCCAGTGGCACAGGAAACATTGCACGGGTGGAGGGAAGAATGGATTCCACTAAATACTGGCAAATTCTGGAAGCAAACATCACACCATCTGTAAAAAAGCTGAAGCTGAAAAGAGGATGGCTTCTAAAACAAGACAATGACCATTAACAACCTCGAAATCCACCATGGACTACCTCAAGAGATGCAAGCTGAAGGTTTTGGAATGCCCATCACAGTCCCCTGATTTAAACATCATTGAAAATTTGCGGGTAGATCTTTAAAGAGCTGTGCATGCAAGACGACCAAAGAATATTCCAGAACTAGAAGCCTTTTCAAAGGAAGAATGGGAGAAAATCCCAAGTACGAGAATTGAAAGACTTTTAGCTGGTTATAAAAAGTGTTTGCAAGCTGTGATATCTGCCAGAGGAGGTGTTACTAAGTACTGATTATGTAGGGTGCCCAAACTTTTGCAGAGTGCCACAATAATGTTTTTATTTTCTATCTTTTTTCATTTTATGACATAAAAAGTAACTATGCATCAATGTTTGGTGAAAATATTGTGCATTTTTTCCATTTCCTACAGAGACTGTACGTTTTTCCATTAAAAAATTACCAAAATGTGTTATCGAGCGGTGCCCAAACTTTTGCATACCACTGTAAGTGTAAAAATGCTTTTTCAAATCTAGTTTAAAATGCTCTCCTACTAATTTCCACCATGTTCTTGTATTCAAACTAGTATTGAAGTAATTATTTGGTTGAACAGCATACAAACCTGTTAGAATCTTATGTACCTGGATCGTATGTACTTAGTCTCCTCGGCTTGAGGCTGAACAGATTCAGCTCAGCTAACCTCTTCTCATAAGACATTCCTCTAAGGCAGGGGTATTCAACTAAAATTTAAAGAGGTCCAGTTAGAGAAAACTTCTTGAAGCAAAGGTCCGGAAGATGATAATGTCTAACTATTTAGTGTGATCTACATTTAAGTAGCATATGTTGTATCAACATTGCATGTAATCAGTACCTGACTGTCAAATCAAATTAATTCAGTACAATTCAAAAACGTTTTGACTATTTATTGTCACGTGACATAGAACTTCGGTCAGTTGGCTGGAGTGAGATTTTCAATTCGAGATGTCTGCACACACATGTAACAGTTCTTACCTTGTAAATAGTCTGCTTTTGTATTTAACCGTGTAAATACACTTTTGACGTAGCTAATTTTAGGTTTTATAATGAAATAATATAGATTTGCCGTAAGATTTCTAGCGTATGTCTGAAAGCGTGTCATGCCAGATGCTTGAGATTTGGCAGCCATAAAAACGTACATTTTTTGTTTCACCTGAGTTTATTTATATAACAGATAACATTACTTTATAAATATGTTAAAAAACAGAAACTTCAACGAACATGAAATCAACAATAAACTGTGTCTATTTATCCAACATGTTATATAATAGCCTACATACTGTATTTGAAAACTGTTCAGCTTTACGATTTCAGAACAGACCAGTCACTCTGCTAGGAACAGCTTCGTTGCTATTAACACTAACGGCACATTAGCGCAAAGGGCTGCATACGCCGAACTACGTCTTGCTTGGCGATCAAAGGTGTTTGACGTTCATTGGCGTGGGAAATGGCGGCTCTACTGCTAAACCATTACCGAAAAGACTACAAACGCTGCGCCGGTTAAAATAGAAGCGTCCCGTCAGGTTTTAATTAATGACTTAATGTTATGGCGATCGGTCCGGGTCCGTATGGGACCGCTTCTGGGTCCGGACCCGGCCCACGGTCCGCCTGTTGGTGACCTCTGCTCTAAGGAATCATTCTTGTAGCCCTAGGTTGAACCCTTTCTAAGGCAGCTGCACACAGTATTCTAGGTGGGGTCTTACCATGGAATTGCATAATCTTAGCATCACCTCCCTTGACTGAAACTCCACATAGCTAGAGATGTAACCACCATCCTATGGGCCTTTTAATTGCTTCCTCACAGAGTGGCCAGATTGGGACATGGAAGCATCAACATACACACCAATGTATTTCTCATAATCAGTTACCTTTATTACAGTGGAACCCATAAAATATCTATGCTTTATTTTTCTGCGGACTGCATGGATTACCTTTCATTTGTCTGCATTAAATATCATCTGCCAGGTATCAGCCAAGTCACTAATTAAATCTGTGCTGCTAGTTCAATATCTGCAAATTTAACCAGTTTACTTCACATATTGGTGTCAATATCGTTAATGTAAATTAGGAATAACAGTGGTCCTAAAATTGAACCCTGCAGTACCCCACTATGAATGCAGGCCCACTGTGACATCATGCCTCTAATAATTACCTACTGCTTCCTTTCAGTTAACCAGTTGTCAATCCTAGCTGCTGCAATTCCTAAAAGCCCCCTTAGCCAAGGGATCATGGCAGTGACTGCATTTTTATAGAG